GTAGGACAAATACAATTAAAAAAACATAATTAAAGTTTTTCTGGTACAGTAGAATAGGTTTATATAACACGTAGTAAGAAATACTACCGAAACTGAATAATCAAATGTAAAATTATAACACTGACTGTATAGACCCCTAGCTGGAGGCAAAACATAGTGAAAACTGGAGGCGGCCAATGCAAACCAGCACAGATTCGGCTGCATAATAAGGAGCTTAAATTACTTGTATTATTTTTAAATGTCATCTTATTGTGTTGTTTGGTGCAAGTATCAATAAAAAATGAATATGCTGTATCTGGATTTTTTATCTCTAGAAAATATTCACATGATTAAAATCGCACCGTAATGACACTCTTTACATTGTCGTGGTCTCGGCAGAACTGCGGATCGTACACACAAGTCTTGTACAGGACCATATAGGCATCTAAAGATTTATACGCCCTCAGTTTCTCTTTACGATCGGTTTCTCTATACGGTAGGTGTAGAAGTCAGGCCACTCACCCGAGGTAACGTACGTTAATCCTATCATGCATTGAGTGAGCGTGTGAAGGCTACGGGTCGGCCAATCTGGTTCTGTCCGTTAAAAATAACTTTAGGAAATAACAATCGCTGTCCTGGACACTGAGTGACCTTACACATTAAGATAAAATCAGATTTTCTCCAGTCATTGTTAAAAAAACAAGCTAATAAAACTTGCTAACTAGCGTTAGTGAAGCGGCCAGAGGGATCGTTCTGCCTCCACCTAAGCTCCGCCCACATAAAAACGTTACCATGTTTACCAACTGAAAAGGGATCTATAGTCTTCACTGTATGAATTAAATATAAATTTATTCATATTAAAGATCAAAAATGTGATCTGCTTCATCTGTGATGGTAGAGTCAGAATTTGGCGTAAACCGAATGAGAACATGGATCATCATGCCTTGTTCCCACTGTTGGGCTGGTGGTGGTGGTGTAATGGTGTGCGGGATGTTTTCTTGGCACACTTTAGGCCCCTTAGTGCCAATTGGGCATCGTTTCAATGCCAATTTTCGTTTAAATGCAAATTTCTGACCATGTCCATCCCTTTATGGCCACCATGTCCCCATCCTCTGATGGCTACTTCCAGCAGGATAATGACCATGAATCATTTCAAATTGGTTTCTTGATCATGACCAAACGTGCCGCACAAGCCCTCAAAAGTGAAGCCAAAACGTCTCGATCGCCCCCCTGTGGCCGGTCCTAGTATAGCTCATAAATCCCGCCTCCCCATGTTATTCAATGGGACGCGAGACCAACTAAACAATTAAATTACACTTCACATATCCTTTTTCCAAAGATAGTTTCTGTCATTTACTGTAGTTTCTATCACGTCGATGTAATTTCAAGTGTTCGTTTTTAAAATAAGTTTGTTTTTAGTTAGTTGTGTGATGATAAAATAACGGTGCTCTAACATCATGATTGACAGGTTCTCTGTGCGAGGTAGTCACTGAAAGCACCAGCGGACTTTTTTTAATAATGTTGATTATGTGGTTAGTGTTTGTATTTACCTTATTTTAACGAGGTTCTGCAATCAGCAGACATCATTGGAGAAGAACGAAGCAGACAGAGGCCACTTAATGAAAGTGCGGGGCGTGTGCTTGCGTTTGATTCAGCGAGAATGAGGGCGCGGCCTTGATTTCGCGGCTTTACTTCCTGCGCATGACTGGTCCCGAAACACGCACGTGTGCAGACTCAGGTCCCAAGATGTCAGCGTCATATCGAGACACTGGCGGCCTCGGTTCTCTCTGATGGAAAAGAGCGAAGGGGCGTCGTCCATCTTTTTTTACAGTCTATGATCATGTCAATGAGTTGACTGTACTAATATGGCCGCCACAGTCACCAGATCTCAACCCAATAGAGCATCTTTGGGATGTGGTGGAACGGGAGCTTCATCCCACAAATCTCCAACAACTGCAAGATGCTATCCTATCAATATGGGCCAACATTTCTAAAGACCTTGTTGAATCAATGCCACGTACATTTAAGGCAGTTCTGATTGCGAAAGGGGGTCAAACACAGTATAGTGTGGTGTTGAAATGAAATATGAAATGCAACAATTATAATGCATAGTTTCCTCTTGTGCGCACATACACTGCCTGGTCTTTAACACTCACTGTATGACAGTCTCATGACCCCAGCTCTAGGATGTGTTAATCCTCACTGAACTATGTGACTGTTTGCTTGGCGATCATACAATAGCTGCTACAAACCAGACCACTACAAAACAGGACCGTGAAAGGAGAGCTGGCCGAGGTCTCGGATGATTTATCGCTTTGAAGAATTCAAATATATTAAGGTATACAATAAATCTGTAACCTTTTTAAACAGTTTAATTTTTCGGCAACGTTTTTGGTCCCATTGGCTGGCAGGTCTGTGACTCTGTGTATGAGGGGATGCAGACAAACTAATCATCTGACTTGGAGCCAAGACCCTTAAACAATCCATGTTCAAAGTCATTTCTTACGTATGCATGTTAGAGCAGCTGTGGCTGTCGAAAGGAAATGTTTCACTTTAAATGGTGTCTAGTTGGAGTTCAAGTAAACAGGATAGTATTTTATAACATGTGTAAGCCAAAGGCTACAAAAACGCTGCATTAGTTGTCAACAGTTTAAAATGAAGGACACTAAAAAGATGTCTTAAAGGAAAGGGTTCAAGATGAACCAACAACATTAGACTAGTTTGTTTTAAAGTCACGTTTTTAATGTTGTTTATGTGGTGTTTTTAATCCGCTTTAATGTGTAAGTTGATAAGAGTATTTCCTCCTTAAAACTGCAGTGAACCAAAGACAGTCTCAAAAAGCGTTTCTGACGTCACAAACCACCTTGTAACCAATCAGATCAACGTGTGATCGTCAACCAGTGGATCTCTGAGTGGAGGCGGGGCTCATTTGCATATTCATAGAACCGTCGAGTTACATACAAGATATTTTAAGGCATGGAGAAATTTTATTCCAAGGAAAAAACATTCAAATGTAATTTTGGTGATCAAAGATGAGCTTTAAGGGACACAATCATGCCTAAAGGAGGACTTTAATAGATGCTAATAGCTAATGAAATATTATATTTTGTTCTTATTAAATCTCACAGCAATTACCAGTTTAGAATTCAGTCAGTTTGAGATCTCAGCTGCCATCTGCTGGTCAGACTGTGTCATCAATAGTGCTAAACATAAAGCAGGACTGATTCATACCCCATCACAGCACTATTCATTCACACACACTTTCTTAATACTAAATCTCTGATAATCTTTCTTAATTTGTCTTGAAAGATTATCACATTTAATGCGCTTTTATATAATGTTAAGTGAAATGTTTCTCAGATCCCTCATTTCTTCCCATCCATCCCTCCCTACTGTTCTCACCAAGGTCCTGGGAAAGCCACAACCTCGCCAGCTCTGCATATCTCTGAAGCCTCTCCCATCGGGGGAGTGACACTTCCTGTCTGAGTCTGGAAACCCTCTCATGGTGTTCCCAAATTTTTTATAAATACTAACCAAAACAACATTTTCTGACAGTTTATCAAGGCCGTACCAAGAGTGTGTGTCCCCCGTCGAATCTGTTGCTATTGGTCGGCGCATGCGTTTGTCTGGTCGAGGAATGTCTGAGAAGTGTTGGACTGTAATCTGGTGATCGTCCGTGTTGGTCGGTGGGAATTTGGCTAAAACTGTGTTTACTTACTCAATTCCTAAAAGGAGTTTGGTTAAGAAATATGTCATGTCACAGCAATTCTATTTCTAGGGCAGAAACAAATTCCTCTATTTTGTTTTAAGGACCATTTTGTAGATTTAAAATAAATAATTATATAATTTTATTAATGAGTAATATGACACAAACTAAAGTGCTGTTGCTCCAATATTCAGACCAACACACAGTTGCAAGCGTGATATTGCTTTCACAACAGTTTATGATTATAGACAAGAAGTTAATACAGAATACTATAACATTTAGACAAATATGCTGCCTTCACCAAATATCAGTGTCTGAGTTGGGCGGGTCATAAACTTTAAACATAGCGATTGATTTCTGCTGTTACTGCTTTTCTTTATTCGTTTTTCCAGCAGCTACATCTCCTCGTCTTTAAAGTAGCTCATGGTAATGGTTAATGTTCATATGGTTGTCAACGAATGGGACTCTACATTTTACTCAAAATGTAATTTCTTCAATACATTTAGGTTTTAATAAGATTTGACCAAGAAATGGGGAAGAATAAACCATGATTCCTATCGTTTCAGACAACAATGCACTTGGACATGACGAGCTCGTAATCACGACTTCAGAAGCGGGAAAGTAGGAAATGTACGATAACAATGTGGGTAATATGTAATTTGGGTCCAACAACAAAAAGAAAATCGACCACTGTTTTCGAGCGATGCACGTAGTGTGATTCATTCCTAATTCATTCTGTCAACAAATTGTTTGAGTAAATAAGTCCATTACTTAAAAAGGCATGCTTACTTTATCGATTTAGTTATTCCACAACATACTTCTTAATTACTACTACTGGCATTATGGAAATCTGCTGAAATGCTTATTACATATATCAACAGCCATGACAGGAACTATGTTTTTGTTTCTCTTGAGTTTGAAATGATAAACCAATATCTTGCAATGCAGATTTTCTTTCAATGTGTGAGACTTCAGATTCAGCTACAAGTTACTAGAAGACAAAAACAGTGCAGTAAACTGTACAACTAGTGTTTAATTGATTTGTTACACTTTACATTTGTTTAATTGATTTGTTACATGTTACATTGGTCGGTTGTGTGATGAATGACACCTGTGTATTGTACGGAACTGACGTCACACATCCAAACTCACCTTGGTCGTTGCAAAATCGGCTCAGAAAAAAATGTATTTCTGTGGAAAGCTATAGAAACCTTTGTTTCAGATGCCAATTTGCTTTGATATTTGTATCTAATGACATTCAGACATTTTGAACTGTTCAAATATGACTATATTGTGAAGAATAAGCGACACTCACCTGCTGTCCTGCCGCTGCTTTGCCACTTAACTCTTGCCTCGACTGTCCCTTCAAATGTAAACACGGCGGAAGATCCGTTATTCCCCATCAAAACAACAGTTTGTGAAACTAATTCGGTCCAAAGAGTCGCCACTGTACTGTCTCTGCGGTGGAGTCTGATGTTGGTACTGAGAGGAAAAACTGAAAACCCGCCTAAATTCAGTTTGAAATCTAAAAACACCTTACACGTGCTTGTGTGTATCTCTCACGCGCTGTCCAATCGCTGTGCTCGTGAACGCCCCAACGGTCCTTCCTCCTGGCTGCCGGCGCGCGCCCGCGACATCTCTTTAGTTATCAGTAAGGGAATGTGTTGTGTAGATTCCGTATGTCAGGTCATAACTATCCCAGTTATGCGAAAAAACAGTACTTATGTTGCTTTAACCGGAAATCAAGACGGTTTATCTGATTTCGAATATTAAAAAATTCAAAACAAGTATTTCAGTCAAAGATAATTTATTTGCTATGCTAGACCTTTAACCCGCGAAAACACAGTGTAGAGGCTATCCGAATTCCGCGGGAACACAGAGGAATTGGCAACCCTCCTCAGATGTGATCGATGGGGTTTCTGCACCCTCAGTCTCATGAATGACCTGGCCTGGAATGACAAAATGGGTTTGACATTAGGCCTATACTTTCTTCTTTTGTTAATGCTCCTCTAAACACGGAGATCGGCCTCAAATGTCTCTGAGATTGAAAAAAAAGAGCTTTTCATTGATCAACTGTCTTCTGAGAGCCCGTTTGGTCTGATCTCACCTTGATTTCGTTTGTTGTAGCCTATATTTACACCATACTTTGTAGAATTAAAGCACTTTATACCAAAATGTCAAAAAAGTTACTCGAATCAATGATCAGCAGCACTAATAAAGCCCCGTTATACAGATCATTAACTAAAAAATGTTGGTTTAGGGTTTAGTTAACCTTTAAGTCGATGCCCTTTGAATACAAATGATCTTTCAGAACTTTATTTTGAACTTTTAGAAATATATTGCTTTAGGCTACATGGTAAGTTAGCCTACGTAGAATGTCCCACTTTGTTGATTTCTGTTGAGTAAAAATTGGAATAAAATCAAGTATACCTATATTTTCTGAAAATTGTGAAGTAGTGCTACTCTTTTGATTTTGGTTAAAATCCATGTTACACGTTCGTGACATCTGCCAAATCACACACTCGTTAAATATTCATTTTTGTTTGAAACTTTGTCCACTTGACTTGTCATTAAATCATAGGCTACTGTGTTATTTCAGGACAAACTGTATGGAGGTCTAAACTAAATTATGTGACATTAAAGTAAAAAAGCTCAATTTAGAGAAACGTGTGGGGAAAACAGATTATGTGAATAAATCTACAAATATGCAGAAAAGCATGATAAAGTTTGTCGCCAGGGGGCGCTCTCTAATAGTTTTTGAACATCTTTGGTTTAACTTTATTAAAGTGTACGTTTGTTATATACCAGCATCAACCAGCATGTTTCTGGATATTTAAAGCAATGAACTTAAGACCCGAGAATATACACAAAACAAGCCAGAATATCTCATTTCAAGAGTGTGTATAAGGGCACATATTCCTTCACTCGTCAGTGTTTTAAAAACAGAAGATATTTATTCCAACAAACCATTTAAAATGCCTAAATGTTAAAAGTTATAAACCATCTTATTGTTATGATGATGTTTTGAAATGTCCATGTTTGAGCTTTTAAAGTCTTATGATCTTGCTCACTCTGCATGTGTTTGGGACTGATTATGAAAATGAATCCTCTGTGACGTCAGAGCAGCGACTCGAGCTCTTTATTATTATCACATACACACACACACACACACACACACACAGATTAACAGCAGATCTGGATAAAGATCTCAATGAAACAACACGTCTTGCATTGTGTGTTAGGTGACCAGCCTACATTTTGCGATTTACATGCATTACATATACATCCATGCAAAGAGATGAATAGTGACTATCATGCGACTTACATTTAACTACTCTATAATGTTGGGTTAAAAATAACCTAACGAGTAACCCACCTATGGGGTGGTATAGCACCTTCCCAACAAATGCATTGGGTTAAAAGCCAGTTGGGTTAAAAGTAACCCAACAGTTATTTATTTTTATTTATGACATTATTTAAGTATAAAGTTAGTTTTAAAATACAGCTTGTTTATTTGTAGGCTACAAAACAATAAATATGTCTCAACAAATATATTTTTAAATTACGAACAAAATTTTGAGGAGTCTATAATACATAATTGTGCACATAAATTCAAAATACACGAGTGTACAAACAACATTACATATTTAACCCAACGGCCAGCTCGCCCTCCTACGCACTTTCGCTCTTGAACCAGCCCAGGTTATTACTAGAAATGAGCCAACATTTTTAGAAATTAACCCAATATAGTGACCCAATATGTGTTACCCAACGGTTGGGTTAAGAAAAAATAACCCAACATTTTTTCCTGTGTA